CGGCCAGAGGGCTCCTGTCTAAGCCTTGGACAACCTCAGTGGGAACCATTAGAACCCCAGGGGTTTTAAAACTCCCTGTGCCCAAATTCCTTCACTATAATGTTGAAAAAAAAAAAGAAATATCTGAACCTAAATGAAATATCTTCTGGTTGGCAGGGGGTGTGAATCCATACGTTGGCTGTCGCTGATGGGAAGTAGTGTCCTAGCTCCACACCTACACCACTCCTCAGCACAGCTCCCAGGCTGGATGTCCCCATCGCCCTGCCCCGACACAGACCCATCTCCTCAGGGGCACAAAGTGACTCTTCTACCCACAGCCAAGCAGTAAAAATGTGTTTTGCTCCAAGTTCTACCACAACGTGAAGGACACTGGCGACCACCAAGGAGGGGTTGATTTGCTACGCTGCCTGTAGGGCATCCAACCACCTTGAAGGTCACCCAAGGACAAGAAGTTGGTAGTGGGAGGGAGGTGATGGAGCAGGAGGGGTGACTGTCCCCTCACTGCTCTTCACAAGGACAACCACCACCACCACTGCCACCAAAACACCCTGGTCCAACAGACCTACCACGGTGCTGATGGATCGGGGGCGTTTTGGGCCAAGTCAACCAGGCACTGGCTCCGTGGCCAAACCTGAAGAGCCTGAGCTGCTCCATCCACCACAGACCTCCCCCAGGAGCTCCAAGAGGCCAGTTTTACAAGGAAGAGCTCCTTCCACTCCTGTCAATCTTTTGCTTCTCTCTCTTCTCTAACCAGAACAAAGACCCACCATCTATCAGCCCAGGCAATCTGTATTCCAAAATCGAGCAACCAAATCCAAGCCTAACCTCCAACCACTTATAAATGTCATCTCATGGAGTCAGCTCAAGTCAAAACTCAATGCTGATGGACTCCCAGGACTCTACACCAGCTCCACACACAGAATTTCTCTTGTAAAGGCAAAAAAAAGGCAAAGTCAATTTATTCTTTGCTAATGCAGACTGTTCACCTAATATTTAGAGCAATGTCTGGTGCTTAAATACACACAGGTAAAAGAAAAAGGACAATGTCTTAGTGGAGGAGTTGAAAACCTACCTATCAAATTTAGATATCCCCTTAAATAGGAAATTTAAGGAACCAATTTGGTTCCTTGGGACCATTTCCCTTCATCATTCCTGATGACTGAGGAAGGTGCCAGCAGGTCCTGGGGAAGCAGGACTGGCAGCTCTGCAGGCTGGCAGAACTGAAGCTCTGTTAAAAACAGAACCCACCTCTTGACTGAGGGGGCAAACACCCCTTCACTTGTGCATGTCCAAGTACCATCAAAATGTTCTCTTGAAAATATCTTTGACTATTTCTAGCCATGTATAAAGAGCAGATGATCTTGGAGAGGCAGCTGATCTCTCCCATTGACCTAAATTAACAACTACTGGGAACAAAATTCATTTCTATTGGATATTTTCTGCCTATTAGATTTTCATCAGTTTCTCCTAAGAGAAACTAAGGGTGTTTCAGCAAAGCCTCAGTTAAATTTTACAGAGTTTTTTTTTAAACTCTACCATTACAGTGCACACTTTCAAGAAAAAAACTTTTCCCCTCTGCAATTTTCAAATTGTTTCTGATTTTTGGTGCCTGGATTGCAGCTCTTCTGGAGGACTTGTTCCTTCAGCTGTCTGGCTCATCGTGTGGGACAAGGCTGAAAGTTCAGGTTCTGACACTGGCAGTTTTGTGGGTGTAAAGGTAGAAATCAAGGTTTTCCCTCAAAAATGGAGAGGTTAAATCTTGTTTAGCAAGTGCACTGCCCAGCACACTGTCTGGATGATATCCTAGATTCAGTATTTTATACTCTGCTCTCCTCTCCTCAGTGTATAAAGAAGAGAGGACATTTTACACCCCATTTTTTTCTGATTTTACCTTGCTTCTCTTCACTGCCAGCCTCTCCAATTCAGCACCTTCTCTCCCCCTGTTTGATTTACCCCACCTTACTAGCTCAGCAGATGTGATGCAGAGCCTCTTATGTGGAGATGATGGGATGGAAGGGGGTGAGGGATGCATCAAACTCAACAACTGAGTGGAGAATCATCAACAAACCCAAGTTTTCTTCAATGCAACACTTCCAATGAGGGAAGAAATGCCAGAAAAAAAACCCAAACAACTTACAATAGCATATTAACCCACGAAAATCAATGGAGAAAATGCTCATTGGAATACATGTGAGGAAACAGAGGGAGATGAGGAGGGAGGGAAGTGAACAGCACAGAGCTAGGCAGCAGAACACAGAACTGGCTCAATTGTCCCAAACTAAGAGCCACGATGCCCACACTACAGTCAAAACACAACTGGAGACCAAAGCAGCAACACGTGCCCTGCCAGGCTACTTTGGGGATGCTCCCTGAAGAGCTCTTAGAAACCACCACGCTGACCATGAAACAGATTTGAGAAAACAATTCTGAGGCAGGAACTAACTCCTACAAGGAATCCCAAAGGCCTGTGAAGACACTGACTCAAAGCCCCTACACAAACCTGTGCGAGTTCCAGTCTCCCCTCTTGGCACCAGGCACCTCCTCCCTCCTCCCCTCCCTTGCTGGGTGCTCTCCAGGTGGGCCAGTAGAACACAACCCCCCCCAAACTCTACCTTGGTGTCGTGGCGCACTGCTGAGACCGGGGTGACCTCTTCTGCTCTTTTCTTTTTGCCTTCTTCATCATCTTTCTCTTCTTCTGCCTTTTTCTCCGGGGTCACAGTGGTTATCAAGTTGGTCTGAGAGATGCCCTTTGTTGTGGCGTACTGGCCAGTACCAACCTCTGCAGCAGACACAGAATCCTTCATGTACATTTCATGGTTTTCATTCACTGATGCTAAAAGCAAATATTTAAAGAGGGAAAGTCTGAAAGAGCTTGTTTTTTTTTTTTCGAGGAGAAGCTGCATAAAATTAAAAAGCTGGGTTAGTAAAACAAGTGAGTGGCTGCTGAAAACACAGCTTTAGGTGTGTTTCAGGAAACCAGAAGCACATGCACATCATTGAGTCAAAATAAAGCTTGTGGGGCTTCTCTAGGCACAGCCAGAGGCTGCGTCCCCACACACCACAGCTCCCGAGCTCCCACTGCCAGCAAGCTGCCAGAAATGCTGCTGGAGGCAAACACCCCCCAAAAAATCACCAGTTCCCAGGCAGGAAAGAGGAGGAGAAGCAGCTAGGGCAGCAGCCGTGGGGGCTGGAGGGGGCTTTTCCTCCAGTCAGGGTGTAGGAAGCAGCTCGGATGCAGGGTAAGGAAGGGGAAGGACAACACTGATGTCACCCAGCCCGGGGTATCTGGGGGTGGAGAATGGGATCTTTGTGCTGCTGGCTAGGGAAGCCTGCCAGCTCAGGGAGCTCAGCATCCCACGAAATTCCAGGCAGAGATGGCACTCAGAGCAGCAGCCCAGACCTGAGCCTTTTGAGAGGTGCAGGTTTGGTAACTCAGCACGCTGAGGTGTACAGAAAAGATGGGAAATAAAGGGTAAAACTGCAGACTGAATGTCAGCAAAACATGAATACACACTATTGTGTAACTAATTGGGTAGAATCGACAGTTTGGGGTGGGAAGGGACCTTTCAAGGTCCCCAGCTAGAGCAGGGTGCTCAGAGTTGTGTCCAACCTCCCCTGGGATGGTTCCAGGGATGGGGCAGCGACCACCTCTCTGGGCAACCTGGGAGCTCACCATTCCCAGTGCAAAAAAAAGTGCAAAAAATCTTTATTTAATGAATTAAATTAATTTCTTCCTTTCCAAGCCAGCAGGACTGCTCAGATTGATGAATCTACTTGCACCAGTAACAAGTGACAGGACCAGGGTCACACGCTCGTGTGGCAGCAGCAGTGCAGAAATCAGGGTGTGGATTAAAAACCCTCTTGTCCCTCTCTCCACTTCCAAAAATCAACATCACAAAACCCTCCTGGGGCCCAACCAACACCAGGGGAAAGCGTTTGGGCATCTGGACTCCTGGGAATGAGCTCAGGAGGCGGGAGAAAGCGAAGGGAGCAGAGGGAGGCAGCTTGTTTAGATGTGATGAACAACATAAGCCAGCAGGAGAATTTCAGCTCTGAGACACGTGCGTGGCAATCGGGTCACCAGTTGCTTGGCAACAACAAGAAGCACATCAGAATCAGAAGATTCCAAAATAATTACTGAGAAGCAGCACCTTCAGGGGGAGAACAGCTTGTCACCAGTAGTTGTCCACCCAGGCTTGTCCCCAACCCCACCATCAGCTCCACTCCTTGCCACCCCGTTGGGATGTTCTGCAGGAGATTTCAGGTTCTCTTTTGAAGCTGCAGCAATTCTGAATTTAGTCTTGGTGTTGTTTTCTACCCAAATGAGCTACACTTTCTTTACTCAACAGCTGGTGAAGTGGCTGAGACTGAGTCACAGGCTGGGTTAACCCAAGGGAGCTGCAGGACCATCACCTCTGTGGAGCTGGAGCTGAGTATGGAACTCTCCACCTCACACCTTCAGAAGTGAGGTATGGGAAGAGCCTGGCAGCACTCATCTGACCAGAATCAGAACCTCAGAATGGTTTGGGTGGGAAGGGACCTTTCAAGGTCACCCAGTCCAACCCCCCTGCAGGGAGCAGGGACATCTGCAGCTAGAGCAGGTTGCTCAGAGTGCTGACCTCTCTGTGAAGCACATCACACCAGGGCCATTCTGCCTCCAAAAAGTGGTTTCAGCACTTGCTTCTGCAGGGCAGAAAAGGACCTGCCCATAGAATCATGAACAGTTTGGGTGGGGAGGGATCTTTCAAGGTCATCCAGTCCAACCCCTCTGCAGGGAGCAGGGACATCCCCAGCTAGAGCAGGGTGCTCAGAGTTGTGTCCAACCTCCCCTGGGATGGTTCCAGGGATGGGGCAGCGACCACCTCTCTGGGCAACCTGGGCCAGGGGCTCACCACCTTCAGTGCCACAGTTTCTTCCTTCTCTCCAGTCTAAATCTAGGATGTGAGGTCATCAAAATCAAATTATCACTCCACCAAGGGAAAGAACTCACTTCTGGATGGCAACACAGACCGAGAAGCCTACCCAGGAGAATCACTGCAATGAAACCAACACCCCAACAGCTCCTGGGGCCAACCCTGCACCCAGCTCAAGGAGCGGGGACGGGAGGTTGACCCCCCAACCCCATAGCGGTGAGGAGGAGGATGGGGAGGAAGGCAGGGGGGGGTCCTTACCCCCGTCCAGGCTGCGGGACATGGTGTAGCGCTTGCTGGAGGAGCGCTCGAAGTAGGGGGCGGGCCGGTCGATGAGGGCGCTGGCTCGCCTGGTCTGCGCCTGCGTCCGCCCGCTGTACCGGAACTTGGAGCCCAGCGTCAGGAACTTCTTCGGGGGGGCCTCGGGCAGCAGCAGCCTGAAAGCCACCAAGCAGCAACCCCCGTTAACGCCTCCCCCCAAAAACAGACCCGCTCCCGCGGCGGGGATGGGGAGGCGGGTTGGGTCAAGGAGTTGGGTGGACAAGTTGGGTCAACAAGATCGGTCAACAGGTTGAGTCCCCAAGTCGGGTCAAGGAGTTGGGTCAACACGTTGAGTCCCTAAGTTGGGTCTCCGAGTTGGGTCAATGAGTTGGGTCAACAAGTTGGGTCTACGAGTTGGGTCAAGGAGTTAGGTCAACAAGATGGGTCAACAGGTTGAGTCCCCAAGTCGGGTCAAGGAGTTGGGTCAACACGTTGAGTCCCTAAGTTGGGTCTCCGAGTTGGGTCAATGAATTGGGTCTCCAAGTTGGGTCAACGAATTGGGTCAATGAGTTGGGTCAACGAGATGGGTAGACAACTTGGGTCAACA